AAAGGAAAATTTTATAAGATGGTGGTGAGATTAGCAATGCTCTAAGGTGTAGAATGTTGGCCTTTAAAAGAGAAACATAAAACAAAGTTAAGTGTACCTGAGATAAGAATGCTTAGGTGGATGAGTGGCTTGGCACTTAGAGACAAAATGCAAAATGATAATATCCATGATAGGGTTTGTGTAGCTCCAGTGGCAGATAAGAGTAGAGAGAGTCGTCTTAGATTATTTGGTTACATTAAAGGTAGACGATCTGATGAATTTGTTAGGAGAATAGATATTTTAGATTCAACTTATGTTAAGAAAGGCAGAGGTAGACCTAACAAGACTTGGGCTTATTGTAAAAAAAATAATCTTAAACTATTAGAATTAAATGAAAATATCGCACTCAATAGGACACAATGGAGGAAATGAGTCATGTAACTGACCATACTTGGTGAGATAAAAGCTTGCTGTCATTATTGTTGTTGTTGTTGTATCTAAGTAAGGTTTTTCTTGAGAGACTATTTATATGTTTTTATTTTCTGGTTTGAGAAGACTTTCGACTTAGTTTATATTATTTAGAGATGTTTTCTCCTGGTTTGAGAAGACTTTTGATTTGCTTTATGTTATTTGGAGATGTTTTATCCATGTTATCTCTATTGGAGTGTTATATCATTAGATTTCATTTAGGCATTATGTCTGTAACCTGATAGGATCAAGGTGATAATCTCTCCTGGAAGCTCAAAGGCCTCCTCCATCATCTAACTCGCAGTCAATTGTTGTTCGCATTAGGAAAACTATTTTTATTAGTTTTGGTTCGTTGTCCTGTCGTTATCCATGCCGCAATTTCGGCCGACACCCCTCCTCGACATATATGTCACTATTTCATTGTTTTTCATGTTGTTTTCAATCGGGACAGCCGCCAAACATCTCTATCCCCTTCAAATATTGTCAATCGCCAAAATTACATCCCTTTACTATTCCTCTACCTTCTCCACATCATATGTTTCTCGAAAACCTTCTAGAAGCCCTGGATCAATGTCATCTGGTATCAAAGCCCAACAAATCCTAGATTCGTTAAGGTCTTGTCTTTCTTATCCCAATCCAAAATTTAAAAAAAAATCACAATTCTCAAATCATTCCTACCACAATTCCTAACCATGACTCTAAAGTTTTAAAATTCAATTTTCCTACCTCCACCAAAAATCTACCTCTACACTTTCCCCCAAAACCCTAAACCTTGACCAACGTTGACTTACAATCTTATATCCACTGGAAATCTGATCGAGAGAGAGGGCCGCAATGCCGTTTTTGCGAAATCTGAGAAGAGGTGTCTAGAAACTTTCAATGGAAAATAAGTAATGGAAAATCCTCCAACTGCAATAAAGACTTGTCTCCTTCGAGAGAAGATAATCCGAAGATGTCACTCTTAGTCATAATAGTAACTTATCATATCGAAAGGATAAAGTGAATCTCTTCCACCAAATACTTTTTCAGAGATAAAAAACCACTACTTCAAAGAATTAGCAAGAAATATCAACAAAGCAACAGGATTATGACGGTTGCAAGGATCCGAAAGAACTCATCAAGTAACTCCAAGCACTTGAAAGGGTCTTTAAATACAAGGATACTCTACCGAACAAAAGCTAACCTCAAATAAATTAAAAAAGAGTGTGTTGTTGTTGTGGTAAAGTTTACAGCACCTATGTCAGTGTGAGGGAAAAAGTATAATTAGTACTTGGTCCAAAATAAAATAAGAGACGCGGCGCAACTATCTACCACCACATTACAAGCATGATATGTTCTTGAGATTTCACCAATTATAGCATAAAGACCTCTCATCAGAGAAGTCCGTAGCCAAATTAGAGCAGCTAATGTTGAAGTGTGGGCTGATGGAGCCCAAGAAGAACATCATAACTCGATATTTGAGAGTATTAGCAATTTGGTATAGTTACAACCTTATTGGATATTACAAGGCATCCAGATCATAGCCCGAAAGGTGGAGAGACAACACAACACTATCAGGTCCACATCCCCCTTTAAATAGAGTTCAATAATTGGATCGTACATTAATACTACACCCAGTAGAGCACCCAAATTGACCCTGCCAGAGGAGGAACCCAAACAGAGTGGGTAAACAGTGGAGACCACCAATACTCCCAAATTCATTCCTGTCAGCAAATGCTTCAAGTGCCACAATTTTGGCCATGTGGTATTTGATTGCCAAAATAGAGCAGACTCTTTCACCGGGCATGAAGAAATTGAAGAAATGGATAGCAGGGAGCAACTAAAGAAATGGATACTGACACAAAAGAGGATGAAGCCTTCAGAGAGGAGTCTCAACTTTCAGTCGACAAAAAAGAAACTCAATGATAAAAGTTGAGCTCATATGAAAGATTCCAGTTGAATTAAGATTAGTTATTCCAAAATATAGTAAGTCCGAGGTAATAGGCATTCATGCAGAGTTTAATAATGCGGTGCCACGAACAACTCTTTTGCAGGAATATCAGCAAGGCTAATATTGATTGTCCAAAAGAGCCATGAGTATTAGTAGATGATACCAGACACATGGCAACCCCATATAATAGAATTTTAGAATTTTCAAACATTTATTTTACCTTCAGAGTTAACACTATCGAGGAAAGTTCAACGAGTCGGAGATGATAAGCTTTTGAGCTATTTCTAGATACTATATGGAGTAATTTGAGAGTTTCGCGATACACCCACCAACGGATGGTCAGACATAAGGGATAAACCACAACATTGGAAATCACCTTAGGAATTGTGGGAAATAAGATCCTGCAATGGGATCCAGATTCTTCCAGAAAAGAAGAGGTCTCTCCTAAGTGGTTGTCATTAAGAATTGCCCGTCATATCATAAATTTCGTTCAAGAGTTAGTTCCACTCGACATACTTGTTTATCAGATATGACCCACCGAGTATGAAGAGTGGAGGAAGCATTTTAGAGGTTTGATTCGTGATAATGCCCGTTTATATACAGATTCCACTTTGGTTGTGCCAAATTTGATTGCATATTTATTCTATCCGGACACACATTAGAAGGGCTTGTGTGTTTTAGAGTTTGAAATGAATGAAAGCATAAATTTTGCAGTGGAAATGCTTCTGACACAGCAAAACAATGATTTTATTATAGCATTGATAAATCAATTTCATAAGCTTCCATTGAAGAGGGTGAGCCTCTCCCAGCTAGAGAGAATGATGTGAGAGCGAAATCACAAAATTAGGAGAAGGGGGAATTTATGACCCAATCACAGGATTTCCACGACTGCGACTTTGGCAGCCTCCCAAGGCTTTCCTATTTAAGCTTTTTTGTCTTTCTCTTTTACTTATTTCCTATTTTTCTTATTTCTAAGTAGGGTTTTGCTTGAGGGACAGTTTATGTGTTTCTATTTTCTGGTTTGAGAATAATTTTGATTTGATTTATGTTATTTGGAGTTTTTTTCTCCCGATTATCTCTATTGGAGAGTTGTATCTTTAGATTTCTTTCAGACAATGTGTTTGTAACCTAATAGGATCAAAGTGGTGATCTCTCTAAGACTCTAGGATGCATCCTTCGTCATCCTATTCATAGCCAATTGTTGTTCATAGCATGAAAAGTGGTTTTATCAGTATTGGTCTGTTGTCCCGCTGTCATACACGACATAATTCCAACTGACATAATTCTATTGTCCCGCTATCATACACAACATAATTCTATTGTCCCGCTATCATACACAACATAATTCTATTTTCTGGTTTGAGAATAGTTTTGATTTGATTTATGTTATCTGGAGTTTTTTTTCTCCCGATTATCTCTATTTGAGAGTTGTATCCTTGATTTATTTCAGACAATGTGTTTGTAACCTAATAGGATCAAATTGTTAATCTCTCTAAGACTCTAGAATGCATCCTTCATCATCCAATTCGTAGCCAATTGTTGTTCGTAGCATGAAAAGCACTTTTATCAATATTGGTCTGTTGTCCCGCTGTCATACACAACATAATTCTAACTGACACCCCTTCTCAACATTTGTGCCATACTGTTTCATGGTTCTTCTGTTATTTTCATTCGGGACAACCGTTGAACATCTTCTATCCCCCTACAAATATTTCCAATTGCCCAAAAATTCATCCTCATACTATTCCTCTACCACCTCCCCATCAAGACCCGCTTCACAAACACTTTCTAGGAGCTCTGGACCGGTGTCACTAACTAACAATATGTATGTGTATGTGTGTGTGTGTGTGTTTATATATATATATATATATATATATAT